TGCGGTCCGCTTTTGCAGCGCCATACTTCTTTATGCCTAAGTTTATGATCTACTAATTATATTTTAAAATAGGTTATGAGCCCGGTCCGGTATAATATCGATTATATTAGGAACCGGACTTTATATCGAAAACTATAGCCGCTCTCCCAAACGAGTTAATTTAACGTAGATTCTAGAATTCCGTTATAATAGCCGATCCTTTATAGGTTTATATATAAGCTTATATAAGCCGTAATTATATCGAAAATTATAATTAAATGGCTAATTATAGTAATTTTACCCGTTATAGCCATATAACGGCTATAAAGTCACTTATAACTAATCCTTACTATAATAGCCGATCTGCTATAGCACCCTATAGCACCTGCTATATTATATTATAGCACCTAGATCCCCTTTATATACTTCATCGATAAAATAAAAGAATTAATTTCTTTTATTTTCCTTTTCTTAACGATTCCTTTACCGTTTTTAACGATAATTATACCGTTATAACGGCAAAAATTCGGCAAAATGGATAATTTTATCCGTACTATTGCCGGATACTAAATGCCGGAGAAACAGAAATTCTCCGGATCCGGAAATTGGAATACGTGGAAATCCACGTTGCAGTTATATTTTAAACTACTAGGAATCGATCGGTTTTTTGAAATTACCGATATATATAACGGTATAACCGATATTTAGAAAGCCCAGGCATTGCTTCTGATTCGTTAGAATTTAATAATAGAACCGTTAAATTTGATTTTCGATGAAATAGATTTATATAAGGCCTTATCCACCTTATAATCAGCCTATTAAGGCATTAGTCCCGTATTACGTTAGTAACTATATTTCGAATTTTATACGATTAAATTCGAGAATTATAACTCGTTAAACGAGTTTATATCCACTTTTAAGGGATATATTTTAAAGCTTTTTAGCGTTGGGGCTAAAATCGATGATATCGATTAAAAAACGATTTTTATTGCAGCCCTCTAGTTAGCTTACCCTATATGGGCTAATCGTTAACGTAGTGCTTTACGGTCCTTAAATCTATTTACCCTCGAAGGGTTAATTACGGATATATTGGATGAGAACCGACGGGACCTTGATACGGCTATGGGAAATTTTTATTATACGGATAATAAGAAATCCCGGTTCCCCCGATCCAATTAGAATCAACGGGGAACCTAAAGCGGAAATAGGAAGAATTCGAATAAATCGAATAAATAAAAAAAATCGAATAATTCGAATAATTCTAATAATTCGAATAATTCGAATAAATCGAATAACTTAAATTCGATTATATCCACTACGAACCAGAAATTTAAGAAACGGGGAAATTTACCCCGTAACGAAGATTCGGACGAAAACGAATCGTTTTATGCTTTTTCGAATATTTCGAATAAATCGAAAAAGAAATTAACCTCCGTTCTTAAAGATTAGT